TGAACTTTTACATTGAGGAACTTGTGTGCACTTAAATATTTTAAAGAAATACTAATTATATTATGTAGTGAACTTTTTGAGGAACTTGTGTGCACTTTAATATTTTAAAGAAATACTAATTATTAGAAGTCTGAACTGATGGGTAGTGTTGCAAATGTATTAACATAAAAATAATTATAACTTCATTTTGATCAATCTTCTTTTCACCTTTGTTTCACAGCAAGTTTTGCTAAGAAAGGAACCATACAAGAATACAAAGGATCAAAGATTACATTCGATTAATACCAATAATTATTAACTGCTATTTATCCATATTTAGCATTGTATTTTAGATATTMATTTTATAGCAGTCTTAGTAATCTWTCAGAATGTATGTCAAGGTCATGCACAATTGTTGACATTATACTAGGTATTTATGGTAACATCAAGGAGTTTTATGCATAACAGTGAAAAATTAAGAAAATGTCTTGAAATTTTATTTGTTTTATTCAAAATTTTGGACTGAATTAACCATTTTGTAATGACAAAATTGTACACCTTTTCAAATACTTCAGATGCTCAATCTGATCTGTATTATAGTAAGGATTATACTGTTCCTGTGATTGAAARGATTTGTTTCCAGTCTCCTCAACATTAAAGTGGCASAGGAAGCCCACAACCAGTCCACTTCCATACAAATGTCTCCATATTTGGTTTTATCATAAACATGTTGTAAATATATACATCTGTAATGGTTTAGCAGATTAGAAAGCATTTCATTTGGAAATATCTTTTCATTTCATGTTCAATTTGTATTTTTAAGACCTCAAAAAAATCATTAAAGCTTTACCTTCACTTTTTTGTCATCAGTTTTCATGTTTCTCACCCCCAAAAATATTATGTAAGATCATTAGACATCCATCTTATTGTGGTTTCAAACAGAGTTGCTAGCAAGATGAAGGGGAGTTAAAAGATTGCAGTAAATTTCATTGACCAAAAAGATTTGAAACAACCCTTGACATTTCCCTACAAAAAAGTGATAACTGTTCAAACTTTAGACTGCGTTACATCTGGTTGGATGTAACACAGGCTATGCAAACGTGTAAGTCTTGCAAGTTAAAGAAAATATTAGGGTTGACTAGCTATTTAAAATTTACAAAAGAAGGCAGTTTATATTTTATTAAATAACTACAAACTACATTTTGATCTACACTGACATACCTAACAATTTACACAATACTACAATTTTTCATAAAATTATTTTTGAGATCCCCTGTGGTGAATTTCTGTGTTACAAAGACTGGCACAGGAAGCCTAAAGGAGTTGTAGATGCAAGTTGACTATTTACACTGTCTGGGTGATTCGGCCAGCATTTTTTTGTTGTGTAGTAATTTAGCTTATTTTCCAGCTTTCTTTTTCTTGGCAGCTGCTTTGTCGGATGTGGCAGAACCTGGGTGATGTTGGGTCTTCTTTGGCTGACCTTCTCTTTTGTTGATCTAAAGACAAATCATTTCAATATGTTAACATTTTTTCATTAATTTCTCCATTCTCCTTAGATTCATCATTACCCCTTTCATAATCTTATTCTTGAGCTCTTGTTGAGTAAGTGGTCTCTGTTCGTCATCTGTTTCATCATCGGAATCATCACTATTATAATCATCGCCAGTGGTTGGAGGTACAATATTGACTGATATTGATCCAGGCTGTGGTCCTTGACCAAGAAGACCTACTGCTGCAGGAGGTTGGTCCCTTTCAGACTCCTTTGTTACATTGAAACCATACACTTGAAGAAGTTCATTTGTTCTTTGTTCAATGATCCCAAGAAACTACAAGAAAATTCATAATAATTAACAATCCATGTCCTACCAACAAGAAAACCTGGGCCGGGTTGTTCAAAGCTCGATTAATGTTAATCCAGGTTTTTTAAGAGTTAACCCAGGATTAGTACTAATCGAGCTTTGAACAATTGAACAATCTGACCCAGTTGTCTACCAACTGTTCTGATGTGTTAATGGGTTAACAAAGTTTTATGAAGGTTTTTGGGTGTTTTTTTGTTTTTTTTTTATGAAGGTTTTTTTGACGTTGTAGCTCAGCTGGTAAAGCATCAGTAGTACAAATCCAAGGGTCCTGGTTTCAAATCCCAACAAGGTCAGCAATAAATTTTTCCAAATTTATTCCAAAAGGGTCTTTCTCCGAGAATAACCTCATTCATAGCACCATAACTTTCCTTTATTTCTATAAAAAGGTTAACCAATTTACCTGCATCATGTTATTGTCAGTAATTCCCTCTTTGCTGCCAAGAAGATTCTCAATTGCTGACTTATCACAGTTTATCTTGCTGAACAGGGAATCAATCCCTGACTTAAGTTGTTCTAGTATTTTATTGGTGTGCTTGTGTTGGTTGTCGTATTGTTCATGCTGTTCTGTTTCCTCGTTTAGTTGATCATCAAGGGACTTCATGATTGCTTTGCGTTGACTCTCCATTTCAACGCCTTCGCTCTTGAACTTTTCTATGTCGGCATTACTCTGTAAAACAGGGTTTCGTTGATAATGTTAGAATAAGAACAGAATGGAGACTTAATAATGAAAATTACCAATGACAATGGATGAGAAACTTTGTATGACTTAGTAAATTTATAAGTAACAGTACAAGACAGTACTAACCTCGTTAATTTGTTCTTGTATCATTTCAATCTGATTATTGAGCTCGTTCACATAGTTAAACAAAGCAAAGTTTTTGTCTTCAACTTCTATAAACTTGTTGACAAGGAGATCAATGTCTTCTATTTCTGTTGCTTCTTTGATCTTTTGGAATGCTGTTTCATAAGACTGAAGAAAAAAATCATTGTTAACTCAATATGTTTATTGAGACAAATCAATATATTGTTAAGACTACAAGTTAGATATAACTGAAAAGTTCACACTTACCACTATCGTTTCCTCAGCTTTATCCCCTTTATCTTTCTCATCTCTCTTCTTTCGTCGAGATGTCATTTCCCCTTCCATCAACTCAGCTCGTTCCTCCCCCTTAACTCTCATAAACTCTTTGAGTTTTCTCTCATGGTCAATTATGCGTTCCAACTCCATAAACTCGGTTTTGTATTGAGCAATATCCTTGTCATTCTTTTCTTTTAGGGCCAGCATCTTGGCTTGTGCTTCATCCCTGAAGAAAAAATGAAATGGGAAATGAATGAAAGAATTAAATGAATGGGAAACAAATGAGAAAAAAGAATAGATGAATGACCAGGGCTTAAGGTAATGGAACAACAGATACAGAAGTCAAGTTAATATAGCCTGTACATCTGTTTCTCAAGGCCATTCACTCCCCGATTTTTTTGGAAGGGTGAGAAACGGATGTACACAGGCTATGTTTAACTCGACTTCTGTATCTGTTGTTCCATTGCAAGTAAAATACGTCTATTCTCCTTTCAGGTTATTCACCTTGCATCATAAGCTGCTTTTGAATTGTCAATCAATTCACTTGCTTGTCGTTTATACTCCTGTTTCTTCTGCTCTAGTTTCTTGCAGCAACTTTCGTATTTATTCCTTTCTTTCCTCATGCTGTCAATTTGTTCTCTACACTGACTATTTTCAGCCAAAGATCTGTTAAACTTCACATTTGCCTGCAAAAGAAACAAAGTTCATAACTACCAGCAATATATAAATAATAATCTTTTATGTGCATTTTTGTAGTTTGCTCAAGCAAAACATCTCTCTGGGTGATTTTGGAATTTTACCTTAGGGGGAGGGGAGGGGTTTTCCTAACAGGGGAAGGGTTGGGGTTAATCTGGTTTCCACAGACTAAAAACAATTTGTAGCAAATGGTTTTTATATAGTACCTTGTCCAGCCTGTTTTCCAAGACTCTGATTGTTTTCTGAGTATGGACATGTCTTGCATGGCTCATATGTACACTGGAAATAGAATTGAATGACTTACTTATTGGAAACATAACTTCAATCTTCTATAATTTGTACACATTTGATCTTTGTGTAGTAATAATTACAGCTTTTGGTAAATGAGAAGAAAATATTAGTTATAGAATTAGAAGAATCTTCAAAAACTTGATAAAATTTGGTAAAAATCAATATTATTTCCTTACCCTCCCATGTTCTTTTTCTGTTGTCTGTTCTTCTTTTCCATTGTTTGTATCTAAACAGATCATTAAAAAAAATCATTGTTATTTCATCCTTCATGACGACTGTTCTTTTATATTAAGATGCAGACTATTAAGACGTGATATTCTGTGTTCAAACCTTGGCACTCAGGTCAGCTATTTCTTCTTTGACAGCATCAATGTCAGCTTTGTGTACATCTGAAAAAATAAAATTAGAAATGAAAAAAATGTGGATAAGATGCAAGGGCTAGCACATGCTTCTTCATGGCTGTGACCATTCCCACCTCAGTATTCCAATAAAAAAAACAAAAACAATAACAACATTAGCCTCTCTCACAGGCGTTCTTAGTCTCGCCACAAAAATTCACTAGCCTCTCTCACAGGCGTTCTTAGTCAACACGAAAATTCACTCGCCACGAACATTCGTGGCAAGTGAATTTTAGTGGCGAGACTAAGAATGCCTGTGACATAGGTTGTATAATATTCTAAGTGTACAAGATATAAAGATATACATGTAAGTAAAGATTTATTATGTCACCTAAAACAATAATATCATGATTTGTTTTTTAGAAATCAATTCAAATCTGCATGTACCTTCTTGGTCCATCATGTCATTCAAAATCTTGGTATTGGTGGAATCCTGTAGCACAATTTATTACATGTAGGTATTAATAAATAAATGAATGAATAATAGAATTAGTAAAAAACATAATTTTACTAAAAAGACCATTTCATTTATTGTAAATTTTGGATTATTGGCTTAATTTAGCAATGTGTTTGGTTAATATATCATCAGATTATAGAAACAACAACATTTCAACAGTCTTTCTTTTTCTAAAACTTCAAGGAGACTCTGCTGGGATAGTAATACAGTGTATAATTCAATAATGATGATAATAACCTTTCCAAGGTTTTGTTGACTTCCAGCCAGTCTGATATACTTCATAAGTTCATTTCTTTCTTTCTGAAGAGAGTCAATAGCACCGCGCTGCTTTCTGATAGTATTATGAGTCTCCTCGCTGTATGCCTTCCTGTCACCTTCCATTATACGATACTGGCGTTGCAGCTTGGCTAGCTCCTGTTCAGCTGTGAAATAATATAATAAATATTAATTGAAAAGTAAGGCATAAATATCTAGAGAATTATGCTAAGTAACTTGATAATTTCTTACCAATTCCATCAAGTTCAGCTTCACTTGTGTCTGAACGTCTACTTTGAGCACGTTGCATCTTTAATCTATAATTTTAAAAATATTTTTTCAATAAAACGTAAGATAAAAGGAGCTACAATACGGCACATGATCAAGAGAGACAGCCAAAAACGTCTTGCTACTCTTTTATAACGTCAAGATGTTGAGTTTGGTCCTAATATTATTAAAAATAATTGCTTATCTTCGAGAGACTTAAGAAAATACATTTTCATGGATTGACAATGTATTATACTTGCCAAAAACAAATATTTCAGTGCCACTTCGACACCCTGAAAATCGAAGAAGCTTCGACGTTCTAATTCAATTCAGAATTCCCTGAAATATTTTGTACAAATTCACAAAACTTCAATGAACGTACCTTTATAACAATCCTACAATTGTAATTAACTGTCTAAAGTACGAATAAACCAGAGTTAACCCTCCGTTCTTGGTGATTTTTGAGTGTTTGTGTAATGGTGGTCTGTTTTCGACCAATATTTAACCTCGTTTCCATAGTTGCAGACAACCGCATAAATAATACTCGCGGACTCAGATTAGTCCCGAGTATTCGACCGTGAGGCACAGGAATCCCATGAATTGAGTACCAGTTCAGAGTGAAAATGTATTTCTCAAAACAAATAGTAGAAATAGTCGAAAATTTGACAGTTAGATTATGTCGTAATGGTGTTTTTCTCTTACCAAAGTGTAAAAAACAAAGGGTTATGCATTTTGAAATATTTCCTGCGTTACAGTGAAAAAACCTCTATAACATGCTATAAACAATTCTATCAAAGAGCCCTTGAAAATGGAAAATAATTACAAAATTGAATTTTAACAAATGAAATAATTATTATAGTTGATAAACTAACTTGATTCAGAAAAAAAAAGCAACTGAAAATCATTTCATCTTCAGTCAATTTTCATTTTAGTAGAGCTTTAAAAAAATTCGCTGAAGTAACATATTGGGCGATGCCGGGAAACCAAGAACTCTAGAAATGGCAGTTTATTCGGTGACTTATTTCTGGTGTTACCAGTCGTACTATAATTGCATCAAAATAGCTCAAATGGAGTTAAAAGAACAACAACAAAATTTACTAAAAYTGTGCTATTTGAACAAGTTTACGKCAGTACAAACCTATCACTGAATGTTAATCCAGCGTTCGTTATAGATGTTTATTGATTAAAACATACTTCAATCAAATATTAATTCATTGTACTTGAAAAATGATCTAAACATCAATTTCCATCATTAAAAACAAATGTGTTGTACAAAGCTCTGGACTGTAACAGTCTGGACGGCAGGAACCATGGTTCACTGGAATTGTAGTGATCGTTTGGACATAGCTTGAAATCTTGAAATTGCCCTTCTTTTTCTGTCTTCTAGCGTTATTTTTTCACGTCAAGTTTCCTGGACGTGAATCTGTATTCCAGCTTGATGTCGTTCACATTGATTACCAATAAGTTTGGAATTGATTCTGGGAACTTTCCGCTTAAGTAAGCAGACACCGAAGCGATATTTTACTATCACAAAATGGATAAAAGCGATTTTATGTCCTTTGTGAACAAATAGGAAAGCTTTTCCTTAGAAGAATACTTTAGACTCTTGGCTTTCTTTTGTTCTTTATCATTGACCACAAACTAGAATCACTGTCCTTTCCAGGCAACGGAAACATCGCCCACTGCGCGCGTAAAAAAAATATTGATCAGACAATACTTGGTCTTCATTCCTTTAATGAAGTAATTTTTCGAAACTTCACACTAAATGTGTCACTTTTGTCACCTTGAATTCTGTGGAAAAAAATAACAACTTGTAAAACTGTCGTAATCGATTTTGTCAGTTTTGATCCACGTGTTAGTTCAGGAATGGAGTCTGATTTTGACAGATTCACTTGTGCGTTTCTTCTTAAAAAAGTAAACATTTTTACCGACTTTGTAAATAAGTGGTTACTTTAAACACAACAAACACCTTGTTTTACTTGTATCTTCTGGGTTGAAAAAAAGATTTAATTAATGTCTACTTCTAAGAGAGAATTAACTTAAACAAACTTTTCGCGTTTGAAACAAGGAAACAGTTGAAATGAAAGCTATCTGTGACCTGAATCTTATTCAAGCTTACTCCAGCTCTGATCACTTTTTTCAGTGAAAACAGAAAAAATGAGATTGAAGTTAGTAAAGATACTGCTTGAAGTACTTATATCGGGTACATTTTTTTGTACAACCGATTAAAAAGAGGTCGTAAAACGCTTATTGTGTCTGAAGGTTTGTCAAAAATGTAACACATTAAAAACGTTGATAAAGGCGATCCCTTTTGTCACATTTTACCCAAATACGGCATTTTTTAATTAAAAAAAAATTCCTGAAAATATATCATATTTTCCTTCAACTAATGTAAGTTCCCTGGAAATTTTTTTTTTTTTTGAATTTTAGGAAAACGTTTTCGTTGTCAATATCAGACAGCAAATTTCGTAACTTAGATATTGATCGAGTGGTTGATACTTTCCAGGATGTTTCAGTACTTATGGATTTGTTTTGAAACGTGGAATGGGGGATAAAGCGAACAATTGTGAACCCTGTATGTTTTGATGAAAACAACAAGTGTATTGGGATTACATCACCCGTATCAGAACCAAAACATTCATATAACACCAGAAAATCTTCCTTCGTTCTCAGTGACTTAGTTCATTCGTGTCTTTGACCCCAGCAGTAGCACCCAAGCGACTGAAACCGGTGAGTGACTCGATCTTTGATCTTAATACCTCAYTGATAGCCTTGTATTGACTTTSRACTTCTSAACTAACMMATGATACAGATAATTYCAAGAGYTAATTAACTCAAATGATACTATTTGAAGGGATTTTTAACTTGGCGCTCTTGTTTTCAAACTCGCCTTTTTTTCAAATTTTGTCATCTTGTAAACAATATTGARGAAAGAATTTCGAGATTTTTTACCTTTTAAATAATTATGATTCGAAAACTTTAACCAAATGGGTTTGGACTAACTCAGTGCTAATTTCCTTGAAATATTTTCTCGTTTTTCACGGRGGATTTTGCCAGTTTTATAGGTCACAYCAAAATTTCCCAGTTAATTTGATCCATCTTCTCTTTTTTATCAAAATGGGAATCATATTTCAATTATCTTTCAAAAAGAAATGTCAACTTTTTCATGTTGAATTATCAGTTTAAAGAGATAAAATTCACTGACGTGTCACCGCGAGCGCTCAGACGATGACGGCCTTGTGGTTGCTCGTGTAAATAAATTATCACAATAATTTACAATTTAACTTACTATACCATCCAATCGTTTTAGAGTAATTAAATTAAATTAACAAATGGATTCATGCTCATTCTACATATAAAAAGAACTTTTCAGCCTTGTATAAGACTGG